CTGAGTGACTGACTGTCAGTTGATGGATATACATATATATTTGGGATGGATCTTCCCTGGGCTAGATTGGCCATATACAATACTGAGTGATTGAGTATTTTAGTTTGTGAGTACACGGAGTTTTCACTAAGGTGCATCACATACAGTATGTACATTGGCATGTAGATACAGAGATGTCATATTCCTCTTATTGTTCAGAATTGATATATTTTATTTGTACTGAAAGAAACTGTTGAACTTGAAAGCATGCCTACATTTCTGTATTGTTACCATTTGTACTGGACTGTACCTGCAGAGCTCGTCACTACTTTCAGCCCAAAGGTTAGTCTTGTTAATTATTGAGTTGTTTGTACTCATACTACACTTTGCACCTCGTGTGCAGATCCAGGTGCTCCCGGATACGAAGACTGTTAGATCTCAGCGTGTCAGTTGGAGACTATCAAGGTAGCTGCTTGGAGTACGCTGACCTTGCCTCTCTTTCTTTCAGTTATTGTACTGTTCTATACTTTCAGACAATGTTATTGTTAGTAAGACTTTGTATTCATATTAGATGCTCATGTATCCAGTGACACTGGGTTTTAGGAGTGTATATTACATCAGTATGTGGGATTTTTCAATTAAATTTATATATTATATTTTCAAACTTAAAAGAAATTGTGGCTTATTGAGATAGGCGCCATCACGACATGTGGATTTTGGGTCGTGACAAAAACATTAGCCCGAACACAGGCTACTTCCTCTTCTCCTTCTTCGGGCTCGTCCCTTAATCGGCGAATCAAGTCCGAAGGCATAATACTGGAGCCCTCCTTGCGCTTGCGAGACTTCCTCGCCGGTTTTTTCTTTTTCGAGACCGGAGAACTCGGGGCCTCTTTTCTCTTCTTCTCTTTGGCCTGCTTCGGAGCAGGGACTTCTTTGTCACCAGATGGGGGCCTTATGGCAACATCCTTCCCAACGCCTACAAAGCAAAAAAGGGAGATAAGCCAAAGAAAAAGATCAAATGATAACCGTTCTAAGAAAGAAACTTTCCATGACAGTTGGCCTCCCATAGACCCTTTGACAATTCCATCCAAGCGTGCTCGAAGTATGGTCTCTGCAACACCAGACCTTCAAACCATTGTTTAAGTTCCGTAATCGGTTCCGGCATCTGGGCCACAGCTGTAACAACATAGAAAAAGTGGATAAAGAAAATGAAAACAGAAGCCACAAAATTGAACATTCAAAGGGGAATATTACTCACGATTCATATTCCATTTTTCAGGAAACGGCATGTCTTCTGCAGGGATTAGGTCCAAAGTCTTGATTCGAACAAATTGGCCCATCCAATCTCGCTCACGGGTCTCATCTATGCTCGAGAACGGGGCTTTGGTGGATCGGCGAGCAAGCTTGATTAGCCCCCCTCGATAGAGTCGGGGACTATAAAGACTCATAAGGTGATCGAGGGTGAAAGGACACCCCTCGATTTTGCTCGAGAAGAATCGGATGAGAATCACTTTTCTCTAAAAAGAAGGGTGGATCTGGCCAAGGGTCACGTCATATCTCTTGCAGAAGTTGGCGATGACAGGATCTAAGGGACCCAACGTAAAGGGGTAAGCATAAATACTTAAGAACCCCTCCACGTGGGTAGTAATTGATTCTTCAGGCGATGGGATTACCACATGCTTTTCGCCCCAGTTGCATTCCTTTTTTACTTTGTCGAGGATTTTCTAGGTGATGGAACACATGTACCTCGAGATCAGCTCACATCAGCCCGGTACCAAGGAGGCTTTTTCGACCTTTAAAGTCCATGATGATGGAGCACCCTATCGGAACGAATTCCTCAGGGTGGGGCTCCGCCGCATCCTCACCGCCGGCAGGTCGCAATGAAGAAGAGGTTTCCTTTGCGGCACTGTTTTGGAGGTTTTCGCCATTGATGAACAAGAAAAGAGAGAATTAGGATGATATGCGGTTTAATTGGGGTTCTAGAAATTTTGGTCTAAAAATTATGAAGCAAAGGGATTCTTCTGAGGAAGATGCAAGAATAAAGAAAAAGCTTTGAGTGTAAAGTTTGAATGAAGAAAAGATTGGGCTATTATAGGTGGCTGGCGACGATTCGGAATCGGTAATGGCCGACCAACAACTGACATGTAATTAATGCCTTGATAACTGTACCGACGGGACGTTTCATCGCATACGTCATAATCTGGCTCGTCGCTGACGTCATTACCCATCAGGTCGGAGTTCGGAAGTTCATATCGTTTCTCGCCATCTTCTTTTCGAGAAATGAGGGGACTATCTGTATACGGTCAAAATCGAGCTTGCCCTTCATATGACTAATCGAGACTGGAACATGATAGATCAAGGTTCAACTTCTTGTAATATCGAGCTATGATGAGAAGTTAGGTTGCCGAGCTCGTAATCCAGAGACCGACCAAGATCAAGATCGGTCAAGATTGAGACCGAGCAAAATAGAGACAGATCAAGATCGGTCAAGATTGAGACCGAGCAAAATAGAGATAGATCGAGATCGACGAAGATTGAGACCGAACAAAATAGAGACTGATCAAGTGCATGATAGTTCAAGATCGAAACCGAACCAGAAAACAAAAAAGGCAGTATATCCGTAATTTGGGCAAGAATCTCGGCGGAAATCCCGGCACATATCAAGAAGAGGCCAATTAATTAATCTATCATGGAATTCCTTCTGTATTAAGAATTATAAACAAAATAGGACTTCCCCGCTATATAAAGGGGGTTTTGATCATTTGTAGAGGACATTCTGAAGCAATAAAAATAATACATTACTTTCTTTGAAAGCTTGATTATCTTGTTACTCTGTTCTTATATCAGCTGAATCCTTACTTGTTTGGAGGGTGGCCGAATTTAATGGAAAAGGCTAATTGATTTATTTGGTTTGCATTTACTTTTTTTGTAGCTAATTATAGTACTGATATATATTTATAAATTTTTCCAGTTTGTATCAAGTTATATCACGTATCCTTAGAGCCGCGTATAAATTCAATTGTTATCTATTCTTTTAGATATATATATATATATANCAATTGTTAAGTATATGAATCTAAATGCTCTTCTACTTCAGTATATAGATATGCATGCCTATCATGCATAAATGCTGTTAAGGAAAAATAAAATCTATATAGATGAAGAGCAGAACACATACGTGATATGAGACAGAAGAAACTGTCACTACAACATTTTAGACCTTTAACCACTCTTGAAAAGTGTGGTCTAAACTACCAAAAAGTGTAGCATTTAATTAAAGGTAACACTTTTCAACTTTAGGCAACATGTTTCAGGGATGGCCTAAACGAGCGTAACATTTTTCCTAAGGCCACGCTTTACGAGTGTTGCTTTAGAAGCTACGCTTCAAAAGTGTGACCTATACGGTACATAAGCCACGCCTGTACATACCCTTATAGCAACACTTTTTAACTCCTACAACAACACTTCCAAAGTACGGCCTTCGGTACTTTATAGGTCACACTTTTCATGCATGGCTTCTGCAGGAACCTTGTAAATGGCTACCTTTCTTATAAAAATAATTTTTATAATATATTCGGTAATCATATTTATCACCAAACATATATAATATTATCATATATTTTGTGATTATTTTTAAAGTATAAAGATCTCAAACACCGCATCAAATAATAAATAACCAAAAAATATTCATGCGTACACATGCTATGAACTTCCAATATATATATATATATATATATATTTCGTGTACCATATTTCTATAATACAACAAATTGTTCAAAGGTGAGTCCTAACAATTAACTTTAAAAAATGAATATATGTATCAAGATAATATTTTAAACACATCAATCAGCTAAAGCTAGCATCTATTAGAAACCTCATTTGCTATCCCCTTAGCTACATGTAACTGTTCTGATACATGGCCGGTTTAAGTTCATTCGCATCATCTCCTGATTTTGTAAGTGATACGTTTTTGTAAGCTTGACCTCCACATTAATTTAAGCCACATGTATGCTTTCCTTGTTCAAACCAGCAGAAACTTCTGAATGTTTCTGGACCTTAAGTTTCCCATTTGTATTTTATTTGTTCTCATCAGTAGCTTTGACTTCCTATACCTACAATTGAGACAAACAAAGATGCATCATTTGTTTTAGCCTACTAATAATGTAAAAAATTTATATCGCTATGTCAGCTCCAAATATATAATGTCAGATGAATACTATGAAGTTGGAGGGATTCAAATACATGAAAGCACTAATTGTTGGGGCATATACCTAAGGGAGGAAATTCATTGCACCTTGGAAGAGTACGAAAATGATACGGTTAAGTGTTTTCAAAGCACTAAAAGATGATCCTAAACAACGACTGTATATTGGTCGGAAAAATCTATTTTGCACCTTTGATGTCGAGGTCACCATTCTTCACACAACAAAAAACTTATAAAAGAAAGAAATAATGTCAAATGTTTAGTTAGAAACATTATTGGATGCATTCCTTTGTTTATGGAGAAATAGAGAAAAGAGAGAAATATTAAATGTACCCATAGAAGCCCAAATGATCCAATTTGTAGACTGAACTTTACGCCAGTTGTGCATCTCAAAGTGCACCACACTTACTCGACAAGATATACCAGTTTGAAGATCTATTTTCGCACCAAAATAGCAAGCTAAATTGCACCAGATCAATCCCTTTTATGCACCAGGATAAGGAGCTATATTGCACCAAATCAGTCCACAAATTACACCAGCACTGTGAATGTCTTGTGCATGCTGTCAACGTTTCTCTGAAACAAGATCTAAAATTTTTAAATGAAACAAGTAGCATACTGAACGATGACTGCATTTCAACTGAAGAGGATTACTAAAAGTCAAAACTTTGGTCAACAAAAGACACAATATGATCATTAAATTGAAGCACCCAGGATCGAGTGTCAATGGCATCAACCGTTCTGTGTTTTAAGTAGTTCTGCACATTTATTATCAGCAGACAGAGTCTATTGCCATGACCTTAGCAGTCAAAGTTATATTTAATTGAGAAAACTTCCTCAAAAAGCATCAAGCATGATTGAAACACACTACTCTTAGACCACAAAGTTAAACAGAACATGATATATAAAGAGTTATAAGACCTTAACATGATTGAAATAAACAGAAAATGATAAATGGAAAAAGAACCCAAAGAGTGACAAAACTATTTTTCATCATGTCCCTAACAAATTAAGATAACAATTAATGACATAGTGGAGTGGAAGAAACACACTACTCTTAGACCACAAAGTTAAATGTATGTTTTACCTTCTCTTACAATACTATTAAATAGGGACAAAATAATAAAAGTTATTACGAGATACTGAACTAGTCAGAGCGTGACTCAACAAAGCAAAGCAAGAGTATACTAAAGACAAAGGAAATAGTGCAAACAAAGGAACTAAAATAACTTATATGAGAACAACAAGACAAAGAGATTAATCATCTATAATACTAACATAATGTAGTTTCTCTTTCTTTTCTTGAGAATTGTAAAAACACAAAGTAGTTAATTGATCAGTTATCAAATCAACCCAACAAGTATGTTTAATTTTTATACCTGGATGGTATGCTTATGTGTCTGAAGATCTCTGTACTTCTTGGTCAGACCATGGCCAATGATGTAGACCTGTTATAAAAAAATAAAACAATCAAAACTGGTTTAAAGCTTCAGGTTCATGCCACCAGAATTGTTTCTCCGTTAGATTTGTAAACTCATCTATAACATAAATTCTAAACGGACTTGTGTAGTCTTGAAATATTCGAGTTCTTCAATGAAAAACAGGAGCTTTTAGTTCTATTCAAGTCAATCAAGTTGAGTTCCACTAAAGAAATATGGTTTAGCTAAATTCGTGAGTTTGACAATACTTTATCATTTAAGTGGACATTTCAAATATCCTCGGCAATCCCCAACTCTTCCTTCATTATCTAGAACAAGCAAAAGAAAATTAAAGAAATATAAACAAATGCATTGTCAAAAATATAAAAATATTAAAATGTAGGTGAATATGTTAGACAATAAAGCGGTATAAAAAATTCTAATAGAACAATTTCAAACCTCTTATGTGAAACCCACAACAAATCAATCCATACACAGATACATTAAAAGATCTACAAGTCGTCTAACCCATGTTTTCCCCAAATTAAGAAGAAAGGCACAGTATTCCGTGAAAAATCCATTTACTCTACATTCAGAAGCAAATTTAAATAATGGAACTTCTTCAATTAAATGCAAATACCAAATAAAAGTAGTAAATGCCTAGATAAATCGAGTACTGACTTGAACAAATTCTCTATTGGTTTCAACAAAATCGATAAAACTCGAATACCGAACCTTTCTTGTTGTCTGGAGAAGCTGAGTTAAGTAAATCAGATCTTCTTCTGAAGATCGTCACCGACTAGGTGCCATCGACAATCCCATCTTTTGAAAAATCGAGTGCAGAAAAAGTTTTCTTCGTGGGATTCAAGCCCTAGACCTAGAGTGAGGGGGAAGCTATGGAAAATTTTAGAGGGAATAGTTTAAGTTAGAAATTTTAGAGGGAATAGTTTAAGTGGGAAAGTTTTGTATGAATTTCNTAGAAATTTTAGAGGGAATAGTTTAAGTTAGAAATTTTAGAGGGAATAGTTTAAGTGGGAAAGTCTTGTATGAATTTCGTAAACATTTTAGACCACGTTTGGGCAGTGTTGCATTTAAATATACCAAAAGTAATGCTAGTAAAGTGTAGCTTCATATGTGGATAAGCGTTCTCAAAAGATTTTACATTAAGCAACGCATATAATATGTAGTCTTTGTACATAAAGAGCACGTTGTATGAGTGTTACCTAAAATGCGTTGCAAAAAGCTCTTAATAAAGGTATAACGATCCGGCCGGTCATTTTGAGTATTACAACTCCGTTTCCTTATTTACTGTTCAATTTGTGCTTTACAGTTGTTGTGTGACTTACCGGGGTGATTAATTTGGGTCCGGTGAAGTTTTAGGAATGAATTGACACACTTAGTTCCAAGATTTAAAATTAAGTTGAAATAGTGATCGGATGTCGACTTATATGTAAGCGACCCCGGAATAGAGTTTTGATGATTCTAATAGCTCCGTATGGTGATTCTAAACTTAGGAGCGTGTCCGGAATTTTTTTTTGAAGTCCGTAGTAAATTTGGCTTGAAATGGCAAAAGTTAAATTTTTGGGAAGTTTGACCGGAGAGTTGACTTTTTGATATCGGGGTCCAGTTCTGAAAATTTTCATAGATCTGTTATGTCATTTATGACTTGTATGCAAAATTTGAGGCCACAGAATTGATTTGATAGGTTTCATCATCGAATGTAGAAGTTGAAAATTCTTAAGTTCCTTAAGCTTGAATTGGGGTATGGTTCATGGTTTTAGCATTGATTTATGGGATTTGAGGTTTCAACTAAGTTCATATGATGTTTTAGTACTTGTTAATGTATTTTGTTTTAGGCAAATATACTACTAGGCATGCCTAGTAGTTATTTTATTAATAAAAAGAAAAAAGAAAATCACAACGAAAAAGTACAAATAAGGGGGCTAGCTACGGGTAGTGTTGCCTTTATGCCTTGGCTATATAATCACTCATTTGCACCTCAATTGCCCTAAAATCAAGGTCATGAAAATCGAGGCTGGAGAAAATCGAGGTCATGAAAATAGAGGTTACGCCTGGACAGAAACTTTAAGTTATAAAAATGGAGGTTTCCTCCCATTTTCTATTTTTGATAAATTGGAGCTTGGGAAGAGGCAATTTTTGAGAGATTCTCAAGGAAAAATATCGGGGTAAATGATTCTAACTCAGATTTGGTCAATATACACAAATATATTATTATTTTCATCATTTAATTAGTGTTTTGAGATGAAAATTTGGAAAAAATTAGAAAAAGTTCTTGGGCTAGAATTTTGAGGTTTTGAATGAGATTTTGTTATCGGATTTGAGTAAATTTGGTATAGTTAGACTCATGAGTGAATGAGCTTTCCGGGTTTGAGCCGATTTTGGATTTTTGGCTATAATTTTGTATTTTCTTGTGGAATTAATTCCTTTAGCCTATATTAATTGTATTGTATTGTTTGTGGCTAGATTCGGGACGTTTGGAGACCGATTTGAGAAGCAAAGGCATTTTTAGTAGAGTTTTACTCGAATTGAGGTAAGTAACACTTCTAAAATTGGTTCTGAGGGTATGAATCCCCGAATTTGGTGTTATATAAATTTTTTGGAGGTGACTCACACGATAGTTAACAAGAGTGTGGCCGTGCACCATAGAAATTGTGACTTGAATAAATTCTGTAGAGTCGTAAAATTACAGAATCATGTTATTATCCGTGTATCCTCCACGTGTTAGAGAAATTTAGCTTAGGCTCCTATTAAAGATCATGTTTAGATTACGTGCCGATATTTTGGGACCCATGGGGTCGAGTTGGTGTTGAATTGATTGTTTAAATTGTAATTCCATACTTAATCATGTTCATTCATTTCATATCACATCTCATTCTATGTTGCTATTTATTGATAGATTATATGATCATTTTAGGCTGATTTTCATGACATTTTCAGCCAAAGAGACTGGAGAGATTGATGACTAAGTGAGGTTGAGGGCCTAATTGTGAGGATATTTATGGGATCGAGCTGCGTGCCGCAGCATGCCATATTGGATTTATATATATTATTATTATATGGATCGGGGTTGCCCGCCAGCAGTAGGCCTTATAGGCTTTATTATTATTATGGGATCGGACTGCATGCCGCAGTAGGCCATATCGGCTTTATATAGCGCTTGGGCTGAAGTATCCCCTCTAAACTCTGCACACACCCCCAGTGAGCGTTGTTGATTTGTAGTGCTTGGGCTGAAGGAGCCCCTCCGGAGTCTGCACATGTACCCAGTGAACCCGAAGCATTTATATTGAAGGATGGATCTTCCCAGGGCATGGATCTTGCCCGAAACATTTATATTGAGGGATGGATTTTTCTTGGATATAGATCTTGTCTGAATTATTTATATTTGGGGATAGATCTTCCCCCGGGTTAGATTGGCCTTATATAGTACTGAGTGACTGACTGTCAGTTGATGGATATATATATATATTTGGAATGGATCTTCCCTGGGCTGGATTGGCCATATATAGTACTGAGTGATTGAGTATTTTAGATTGTGAGTACATGGAGATTTCACTAAGGTGCATCACATACAGTATGTACATTGGCATGTAGATACAGAGATGTCATATTCCTCCTATTGTTCAGAATTGATCTATTTTATTTGTACTGAAAGAAACTGTTGAACTTGAAAGCATGCCTACACTTCTGTATTGTTATTATTTGTACTGGACTGTACCTTGCGGAGCTCGTCACTACTTTCATCCCAAAGGTTAGTCTTATTACTTATTGAGTTGGTTGTACTAACACTATACTCTGCACCTCGTGTGCAAATCCAGGTGCTTTCGGACACGGCGATCGTTAGATCTCAGAGTTCTATTAGTTGGAGACTATCAAGGTAGCTGCCTGGAGTTCGCTGACCTTGACTCCCTTTCTTTCAGTTATTGTACAGTTCTATACTTTCAAACAGTGTTTTGTCAATCAGACTTTGTATTTATATTAGATGCTCATGTACTCAGTGACACCGGGTTTAGGGAGTATTTATATATGTAATTATGAGATTTCTTCCGCTGAATTTAAATATTATATTTTTAAACTTAAAAGATATGGTAGTTTATTGAGATTGCCGGCTTGCCTAGTATTGAGATAGGCGCCATCACGACAGGTGAGATTTTGGGTCGTGACAAGTTGGTATCAGAGCTCTAGGTTACATAGGTCTCACGAGTCATGAGCAGATTTAGTAGAGTCTTGCGGATCAATACAAAGACGTCTGTACTTATCTTAGAGAGGCTGTCGAACCCTTAGGAAAATTTTACTTTCTTGTATTCTGTCATGTGAATTTGTTGATTCCCGAAATTAAAATTTTGTTATTCTATTCTCTCACAGATGGTGAGGGCATGTACTACCGGATCGGACGGTCATCCACCAGTGCCACCAGTTAGGGCCGCGAGAGGCCGGGGCCGAGGTAGAGGTCAAGGTATAGCTCGTGCAGTAGTTGGAGCAGCACCTGTAATACCACTAGTTGCTCCAACTCAGGAGTAGATTCCAAATGCAGTTGAGTCAGCGGGACCAGCTCAGGCACCAGCTGTGCCCATTGTGATTCCAGGCCTTCAGGAGACTTTTAACCCAGATATTGACAGTTTGCACTAGTCTTGCTCGGGTGGTTTCGGCTCAGGCTGCAGCTGCCACTTCTCAGGACAGGGGAGGTACTCATACCCCTATTGCCCGTACTCCAGATCAAGTAGTGCAGGGACTTCAAATATTGGGGGCACTACCATCCCAGCCGGTTGTAGCTGCTCAGACCCCGGTAGTTCCCGCTATGGCTGAGGATGAGCAGAAGAGACTAGAGAGGTTCGGGAGACTACGACCTCCATCTTTTAGTGGGGCAGAGTCGGACGATGCCCAGGGCTTCTTGGATAGGTGTCAGAGGATTCTCCGTACAACGGGTATTTTGGAGACCAGTGGGGTCTAGTTCACCATTTTTCAGTTTTCTAGAAATGCCTTCAGTTGGTGGGAGGCTAATGAGAGGCGCATGTCGATTGGTGCAGTACCACTTACATGGCAGGAGTTCTCCATTCTCTTTTTGGAGAAGTTTGTGTCGCAATCTCACAGAGAGAAACTGCGCTGGCAGTTTGAGCAGTTACGTCAAGATGATTTGTCTGTGAAGCAGTACGAGATGAGATTTTCTAAGTTGGCTCGTCATGTAGCTTGGTTGGTTTCCACTGATAGGGAAAGGATTAGGAGGTTCATTGATGGCCTCACATATCAGCTGTGGTTACTTATGACTAGGGAGAGGGTATCTGGTGCCACCTTTGAAGAGGTGGTTGACATTGCTCGGCAGATAGAGACGATATGTAGCCAGGAGCGTGTTGAGAGAGAGGCCAAGAGGCCTCGACCTTCGGGCGGTTTTGGTGGGGTACCTTCTGGAGGACTGTCCTACCACAGCAGGAGTCGTCCTTACAGACACGCTCAGGAGGGTCGTCCAGTACATCGGGGTGCATCATCCAGCCATGGTTCATGCGGTTCTCATCAGGGTCAATCATCTCTTAGTGCACTTCCAGCTCAGAGTACGCCCTGTGCTCCTTCCGTTCAGGGATCATCCGTACCAGGTTATTCTGGTAGTTATTCTGGTTCTCGAGATCCACCTCAGAACTTACCAGCCTTTTCAGAGAGGGGTTGCTTTGAGTGTGGAAACTTGGGTCACATAAAGAGATATTGTCCTCGCCTTACACGAGGTCCAGTTCAGCAGAGGAGTCGTGTTATGACTTCTGCACCAGCCGCTCCACCACCTGCCCAGCCAGCTAGGGATGGGGCTCAGTCAGCTAGGGGTCGCCCAAGAAGGGGAGGCCGATTAGGTGACGGTCATGCCCAATTTTATGATTTTCCTGCCAGGCCAGATGTTGTTGCTTCAGATGCAGTGATCACAGGTATTATTTCAGTGTGCCACAAAGAGGC